CCTTGTGGAGAGATGTGAACATCTCCTGTATAATGGTGACAGTACCTGATGAATTATAGATTCCTTGATCCCTGAGAGTTTCAGAGGGTCTCTAGAAATTGTGTATAGGAGAACCAATTGAGGTTTGAGGTCAGAGAACTCAGGTTCTGATTCCAGCTCTGCCATTTAATCAGACCTAACTAAAGACCAGTGTCCTCACCTGAATACAAGTAAAATAGCAACCATATACACCTACACTGTGGTTTTAACTCCAACAAATAACTTGGCACTTGGGATGCATGGAAAAATATTCAGTTAAATCTCAATCTCCTTGACTCTGGGGTTCCATATCTGTATTTCAAATGCAAAGATATTATAAGAAAAATCAGGAAATTAACATGGGCACGTTTTGCAAAAATGGAAAATAGTAGCATGAAAGCGGTTAAAGACAGGTAATTATTCTGTTAACTTTGTGAATTTGATCAATGCTATTACTGTTATTATCTTCGTTTTCACTCATATTTACCTCTTTTTCACTAATTCTTTATCTTATTCCCTTCCTCCATAAACCCCAATTTCATAAACTTTTTTCTCCAAAGAAAATGCGAATTGAGAGAACGTTTGCTTTTTATATTTTTTTAACTGTATGAGGGTTTAATTGTCTAAATTGTTTTCAAATTATCATAGCAACTGGATTTTTTTCCCCCTCAAGATAATAGGAGACTTGAATGTTGACTCCAGTGGTTTCCACTTCTGTTTAATTCAGGTCAGGATTTATGGAGACCTCATGTGGTGACAAGAGGCACCACAGAAGGCTTTCTTCAGGATGGGCATAACGCAGTCAAAGAGAAATTCAAATCTCATTTGTGAGCAACATAATCCAGGAAAATGAGGACCTAGAAGTTAATGGTACTGAAGCATGCAAGGCCTCCAAAAAACACACTATAATAATACTGAAGGATACTATAATAATAGCTTTAGAAATGAGAAACCTGGTCAGTCATGTATAAATTTCCCTTTATTAACTGAAAAGGTGATAACACAGAGAAATTAATGTGCCATGTTGCTCAGGAATTAGTGGCAGTCTTCCTTTCCTTCTTCATGAAATCCTTGGACATAACTTCTTATTTAAATGTTCATCAAATTTAAAAATGTGTTCCAAAAGGCATGTTGCTACAAATGTTATTTTCAGTTCTTTTCTTGACTTTACACAGAATGGAAAGTGAGCCAGACAAATAATCAAACTTGAACTCATGTTTATGACTTTCATTGGTGCAACAATATAAATAGCATTATTTGCAAATATTGGAATGCAAGATATATTTTTGCAATTAAAATACAGAACAATGATTCTAGGTGGTAGATAAAGTTGAACATAAATACATCTTGTTGCTGACAAGGTATCAGAGTTATAAAATTAAATTAATTTTAGTAGAAAACTACTACTTACTACTAATTTTAGTAGTAAACATATTTCAACCACATAATTTACTGGTACAGACTAAAGAAAATTCACTGGGTTTAGGGTAGGGTGGTGGAAGAACCCTTGGTCATTCAAGGCACTTATTCTTTAACTCATTATCTTTACAAGAAAATGTGAGTATGCCTTCCACTTTTTCCTTCTTAAAGAAGTTACATAACAGACCTTTAAGCTAAAATCTAGAAGGACAAATGAGTTAATAAATGTTAAATGTTTTCAAGTCTTTAAAAGAACAGAGCAACATAAATCTATGGCATTAAAATGAGTAATCCAAAGAGTTCCAGTTTTGTTATCGAATAGGTCCCCTGTCTTTGGAAATGTCCTCAGAATAGCTTAGGATTTCCAGACCCGGCAAAATGAGTAGGTAGAGATAGTCTCATTAGAAGACATTTTGGAAAACATAAGTAGGAAAAAAAGTTAATAAGGATATTGGTGAAATTTCAGATTGAGTACATTCTTATGTTAAGAAAAAAGGGGTCAGTTTTCAGGGTGCCGACTCTGTGGTAGGCATATTGTTAGATGTTGGAAATAGAAAAGTGAATTGGACAGATCCTCTTGCTTTCAAGGGGATGAGAGATAATGACGCAAATAATTATCACACTATGAGATTGGCGTTAAGCTGGGGGCTTGCACTACTTCCTGTGAAAGCTTAGTAAGAAGGAATGAGATGAGGTGCTTTAAAATCAAGCAAAGGAGCTGACACCTCTAGTAATCATTACTCAACAGTCACACTGGTTTTTGCTGGGAGAGTAGTGGGGAGCAGGCGAGTTGTAGCAGTTGCCAGACACACATCACACTAAAAAGACAAGAGGAAACGAGGAAATTCTCTTTCAAAACATAGTGGGGGGGGGGAATCCAGATCTTCCCCTAAATAAAGGAAACCTTCTGGTTACAATGTGCGTTGCTAGGGATTCAGTTTTCCCTCCTAAGAGAGTAAAATCAGACAGACACATTCAAGCCCTTAGGGTTTTGCGAGCATATTGTATATCCAAGAAATCAACTGAGCCTGGTGTTAAGTGTGTGACTATAAAGAAAGGGTTAAACGGAAGGGGGTGGCTCAGAGATGGGAAGGCTGGCGAGAAGGCTGGAAAACTTGCAAAAACTCTGAACTTTTAAGCTCCCAAAAATACACATGTGTGTGTCTGTGAGCGCAGGCAGATCTATTTCGGTAGAATTTTTTTTTTTTTTTTTTTTTTTATCACAATCTCTCGGTCTCTCTCTTGCTGCGCTGCAAACACTGAGCAGCCCCTCAGGATCGTGGCAAAAGCTGCAGCAAAGGCACTGGCAGCGCTATTTATTTATGAGTCGCGTTCAAAGCCGCCCTCTCCCCATTCCTCCGCTGCGAACAACCAGCTCGGAGGCTGAGGCACCTCCCGGGCCCTGGAGCTGGGGGCGGGAGCCCGGGAACCTCCTTCCTCCGGCAAACTTTGTCGGGGCGTGGGAGCGAGGTAGCGAAGGCGCGAGCCAGGGCGCGCGGGAACGCGCCGCCCGCCGCCGCCTCCGCCTGGCGCTGGCAGCCGGGGCCTCACCTCTCCCCGGCGAGGTGCGGGCGCCCCGCGCGCAGCCAGTGGGCGGGGCCGGGAGGCGCGGGGCGGGGCCGAGGGGTGGGGGCTCCGCTCGGTATATAAGGCCTGCGCCGGCTTAACTTCTGACTTGGGGTTATTTATTTGGGGAGCGCGCGGACGGCGGAGGCTGGCAGCGGCGGTGGTGGCGGCGGTAGCTGCCGCAGACGGTGGTTAAAAAAGGCGGCGGCGGCGGCAGCGGCGAGCGATGGGAGCGCCGTGGCTCCCGGGCGCAGGCGGGAGCTGCCGAGCTTCCCGAGCACGGCGGGAGTGCTGAAGAGAAAGGGGAGCGTCTGGGGGCCCGAAGCCGGCTCCAGAGGCGCGGGTCGGGTTTTTGTTTGGCTGCGCCCAGGGCCAGGCAGCCCGAGCGAACAACTCCAGTTACAACAACAACCCACCTTCCCGCAGCCGAGCGAAACTAGGGCTGCTGCGTCCGTCCTATTGTTTAGACACTTGCCAGGAGCTCGGGAGCCAGCAGAGCCACCGAGTCCCCGCTGCCTGTCGCCGCTTTCCCTCTCCGCCACTTCCCTCCCTGGAGAAGGAGGCGCGGAAAGCAGCCAGGAGAGGGGAAGGGGCTGGAAGGAGACTGGCTGCTCTGGACTGCGGCCGCCGAGTCAGGTGCAGCACCGGGAGCCGGGCGGCGTCGCGACGTCGACGGGAAGACTGCCACCGTGGCCGTGGGGGACGGGATTCAAAGCCTGGGAAAAGTTCCTGCACTTTGAGAAGGAGGGCCCACTTGCGGGCGGCTGTCGGGGGGGCGGCCGAGGGGCTGCGTCCGCCTAGGAGCCTGCTCAGGTTTCGTCCACCTTTGCCATCAGGTGTCTGCTGCGGAGCTGCGGCGTATCCGGGAGACGCGAGGGGCTGACACACTCGCGCACACACGACTGCCATTCAGCCGCCTCCTGGGCTCTCCTCGGAGTAGCGGATCCCACCGACCCACTGCCACCTCGTCATCCCCCAGGACTCCCGGCCAGGACCCAAGACGCGGACACCTCCACCTTGGCCTTTGCACTCCTTCTGGCCTGCCTGCTAGCCAGCCCCTACTCAATCTTCTGAGGAGCTCTGGTCCTCAACTTGGCCTCTTGGATTTCCTCTATCGAGGTGGTGACTAGTGGATATTGCTGCCGGCTGCGGCGGCCCCATTGCCCTTTTGTCTTTTCTGCGTGACCTCGGGGAAGGCCCTGGTGCGGAGCGTCGCCAAGGACGCTGGGCAGGAGGCGGGATTGCCGAGACGTCCTTCGGTGAAGTGCATGTGTGTTTGCAAGCCGCCCTCGGCTGTCGGGAGACGGCGAGGATCTGTCCGGGTTGCGGAAGAGCCGCAGGCTGTCGGGAGGCCGCGCGAGTGAGCGGCGCCAGAGCCCCGCAGCACCGCCCCGCGCCCCTCGGGCTGCGCCCCCGCCCCGTGCGCCCCCGCGCGCCATGCCCAGTCGTCCGGCGCGCTCCGCTCCCCGCCCGCTGGGCTCTTGCGCCTTCTAGCTTCGGAGAGCCCACTTTGATCGAGGCCACCATTTCTACTGAGCACCTCTCTTGTCTCCTAGCCTCCCCACTGGAATCGGATTTGCAGAGGGGGTCAGTGGAATCGGAGCACTCCCTTTTCCGCGCAACCGACCCCTGCATCCCCAGCTCTTTTACCGCCAAGTTGATCTGAGACAGACGACGCGTGATCTCCTCACCGCAGCTTTGGGGTCTCCTTGTAGCCTTGGCCTGGCCGATTGATCTTCAGGACCTAAAGTTGCCGGAGGAGCGCCTGCCCGGCTAGAGGAGGGTGGAGGGGAGGTGGGAGGCGCGTACCTGTGTCAGCTCTACTGCCCTGAATATTATTACTGTTACTTCCATATTATTTTGTGTACATTTACCCGGACACGCTGGGTTCCTAGCCCCGCGCCAGATACTGGGCCTCAGACACAGCGCGATTCGCGCGGAGGAACGAGCTAAAGAGGAACCCCCCGCGCCGGCGAGCGAGGAGGCGGCGGGGGAAGATGCGTGGCGTGGGTTGGCAGACGCTGTCCCTGTCGCTGGGGTTAGTGCTGGTGATCCTGAACGAGGTGGCGCCGCAGGCGTGCCCGGCGCAGTGCTCCTGCTCGGGCAGCACAGTGGACTGTCACGGGCTGGCGCTGCGCAGCGTGCCCAGGAATATACCCCGCAACACTGAGAGACTGTGAGTATGGGATCTTCCACCCCACCCCACCCCACACTGGGTCGCGCTCATCCGCTTCGTGGAGACTGGAGGGATCAAGCGGCACAGGGACATGTGCCTGGGTAGCTCTCTTGCACGCGCATCCTGGGCTAGAACTCCCTGGGAGGGCGAAGGACGGGAGGGCGCTGCACAGGGAGGGGCCGCTGCCCAAGGAGGGGCGGGCCCGCTGGCAGCTGTGCTTGGTCCCTTCTTCCCACACTTGCATCCCAGGGCAGGATACTTCTCTGGGGCTTGGAGAGCCAGGGACGTGGGGACAAGTACTCGCTAGTGCCCCGGGCAAGGGAGACGCGACTTTGTTCCCCAGACTGTGTAAACGGAGTCACCTTGCGGTTGCCAACACTAGTGGGTCGATTTCAGGGCCAAATCCCAGCTTTTGTCGCCGCGGGGTGGCGCGTGGGGAGATTGGCGGGGGCGACTCAGAAGGGAGAAACCTCCGCTCCCCGGCTTAGTGTCATCCTCCTGGGGACGGAGGAGTGAGGAGAAGGGATCATGGGGCGTCTGGGTCCGCCCGGGGGCGCTTCTGCAGGCCTCAGAGGGAAGGATGCCCCAGGACCTAGGCAGCTCGCTCGGTCGCCGCACGCCGCCCCCGCGACTCTTCCTCCCGCCCCCCCCGGCCCCCGGGGGGAGGCGGCGGCGGCCCGCCCCAGGAGACTTGTCCGAACCGGTGACTGAAGAGGAGGACGTTTCCCCCCCCCCCCACCGCCCCGTGTAGGCTCAGTTAGGGCTGGCTCTCTAACCCGAACCAGCCAAGCGGGGTCCGACTGCTAAGGCGACCCTGCGACCCTCCGCTGCCCACCCCCGGGCCCTTCCTGCTGAGTCCTAGGGCTCCCGTACACCTTTCTGGCAGTTTCTGCGCCCATTCACGTGGCCTTAGTTCTCTTTCCTTCCCTTCTTCGCGCTCTGCTGCCCGCAGACATCCCCGCCTCCCTGTCTCTGCGAATCTCTAATGAAGAAGTAATCGCAGACCCGGTGTTGACGGCCCACGCGCTCCTTGTGGGGCACTTCCCGAGTTCAGGGAAGTGGAGCATGGAGGCCATTCCCTTTGTGAACGCCGAGGCCGCCGCCCCGCGCTGCCCGAGCGCCTTGGGCGCGCTCCACTCGCCCTTGCGCGTGGGCCCGGCGTGCGCGGGGCGAGGGCGGCGGGGGTTAAGCGCGCCCCGACTCTGCTTCCGCGGCCTCTGCGCCCCCCGGGTGTGAGGGTTGCGCGCCGCGGAGGGGACCCGTTGGGGCCCGCACGTCTTCACCCGCGCGGCCCGCAGCGCCTCGAGTCGCTCTTCTTATCTAACCCAATTCGTTTAAAGGCCATAGTTGAGCCCTTTCTTCCTTTGCATATGTCTCCCCCACCCCCAACCTCTCTGGCCTGCCCCCCACTTCAACTCCCTCTAGCGCTGGGCTAGTTGGGGCCCTACCAAGGGTGTCTTGTCAAAATGTGATCTACCACATTTGTCTGGGGCTGTGGGTAGGGATTCATGTTATGTCAAATAGCCCATAAAAGACCCCAACAATTGTAGGAACAACTTGGTGGTACTTTGCTAGGCATGGAGAGTGGGTTGGGGAAAAAGCAATGCAGAATTCTCTGTTAGCACTTGTCTTTTCGTGCTAAGAACAGTTAAAAGTTTAGGCACTAACATGTCTTACTCAACAAAAAGGGAATGCACTCAGAACAAAATAGTAATTGAGTTTCGGGTCCTTGAAAAAAAAATATCCCTATGAGGGATCAATACAGTTTTCAGAAAATAGTATACTCAGTGCTAGCTTATAGAATTCTATCATTGACAATATAAGCACTTTGCATACAAATTTCCAAGATGGTGTTTTCTACTCAGAGGTAAAAGAAAACTTACTTCCGTGAAGGCGAACATTCAAACCGCAACACAGCCTGGTTTTACTTGAAATGATTGGAACCAGGGCAAGTTTAGATCTTGACCTAAGATGCCAGAAAAGGGGGTGGTGACTTGAAGGAAACGTGGTGCTGAAATCCGAACAAAAATGTCAGGGCCTGAATCTATTTCCATTATCGCCCCCGCTAGTAGTTTTGACTTTACCATCACAGCGGGGTTCCCTGAGCTGCAAATGAAGAGTTTAGTTTTCATACAAACATAGAATTGTTGGAAGGTAAATGCCTGTAAATGCAAGTCTTTGAAGTGCAGTTCTTTTGATGGCACTATAAGTTTTTTCTTTGCCTTAGGATGTTTAGCCACCCTGCCACCTAAGGATAGGGTTCTGAATTTTTAAAAATTTCTTCCTGGGTAGTATTAGAAAATTGTTCCTCTTAACTTCCTGAAGGGAACTTTTACGGGGTGTGCCTAACAATAATAGTTAACTTAGCAGAATACCTGTAAAATTAATATACACATTCTCACAAAAACAAAAATTGAGAGCACTCCCCTACACACACAAAAGAGGACTTCTGAACATAATCACTTCGTGTTCTTGTCAGATGCCAGTAAGCAGGGACTCTGTAAACTTGTTAAGAATCATTAATATATATATATATATATATATATATATATACATATACATTTCAAAGCTTACTACTTTCTTCTCTCTTTTACTTTGCAAACTACTATAGTAACTGGAACTGATCTTTGACTTTAAAGTTCTTATTAAATTTTTATTTTTCTTTGTTTAACTAGATCTTGATAGAAATAAAATGGAACTTTCATTTTCTTGTTTTCTCTTAGGGATTTGAATGGAAATAACATCACACGGATTACCAAGACAGATTTTGCTGGTCTTCGACACCTAAGAGTTCTGTAAGTATGTTCTTCTGTATTTTGAAGAATTTTCTTTTGTTCTTAAGGTTGGTTATTTTGTATTGTTACTGGTCTCAGATTGAAAAACTGTCCCAATGACAGAAACATAAAATTTTAAAAGGTTTTGGTTTCCTTTCTTTCTTTCTTTTTTTTTTTTTTTTGGTTTATCATTGTATTACAGCTTTTGTTGAAAATGTAGGCTTTTATTTTAAGGTTGGATGCTTGCCATTGAAACAATATTATAGAAATGACCTCAAATGTTTGCTATACCATATCCTAAGTGCCTTATGCATATAAATGTGTAGAATAATTGCTTTCACAATATGAATAAGTAATGTGAGACATTTGATACACTTTAAGGATTTGAGATTAAGAAAGAATTTAAGTGGGTCTGCATTTAACTTTTCTAGCAAACAACACTTAGATGTAATTTCTAACATTAAAATCAAGCAATCCAACTTTCCTGCAGTTTTTGATGTTTCTCTATAAAAATACACTGGTCATATTTTGAATTGTTTATTGTATTTTACATTTCTGTAGTTTTTATAATATTGTTGCAATATGATTACTTTGATTAGTGGGTAAAATTTGTTGTGAGGGAACCATCACTGGAGATTCAATGTAATGTAAAACTGTTTTTACCCACAGATTTGTAAATATTTACATTGCAATGAACATAGACTTTTGATTACTGTGTGTTGGGTGTTGATCTTTTAAAGGACACATTTTGGCTATTATGAAATCTTCCAATTTCTGATGTATATCCATAAGTGAATTAAAGTATGTGTATGGTGACATGCTGTATATTGATTCTTTCAGTTAAGAACTCACTCCAAAATCAGTTTACCAAAAATAGCTATCAAAACTGCAGTGTCATGGGTTGCTCCTCAGGATAACTGTAGTGGGAGGCTCAGAGTTTTGACTAGTAAATTTTGTGAGAAACTACATTAGTATTTTCTATCGAAGTTTTGTGATGTGGATGCTGTTTGCCCTCTTTGATTTCTCTCAAATATATCATCATTAAATTTGCTATTAAATTTCAAACCAGAGCATTGCTTGATTTTATAAAGGGAAAGTGGTTACAAGTTTTCAGTTGCTGAACTGAAACTCACTCAGATGGGGAGTGGTAACATTAAGACCCTATTATACTTTGCATTTCAGTCAGCTTATGGAGAATAAGATTAGCACCATTGAAAGAGGAGCATTCCAGGATCTTAAAGAACTGGAGAGACTGTAAGTATTTTTAATTCCAAAGTTATGACGACATAACTGTATTTTTAAAAAATACTTGAATTTCAAGGGCCATGTCTTCAATTTCATGTCTTAGTCTTTGAACGTTTTACAGAAACAAGAGGTCAAACAAGTGGCTTTCAGACTAATTTACAATTAGAAATTGTGGAATTTTGCACAAATGGTACTAAATTTTAATAAAGATTAAAAAAAAAACAAAACAGACTTCCTTTCCTGAGACATTGATTTCCTTGTGAATAGCCATTGCTTTGTTTGGTACTTAGAGAGGTACATGTTTTCCTTATGGTCTATCTAGTTTATTTTATTTGCTTTTATAGGAAAAAGGGTAGTGATTTTATTTGCATTTATAGTATATTCTGGAAAAGAAAAGTTTACTAGTATTTATTTTAATTTTCATGCTGTTGCTTTGTGTGTCATTAAGTGACATTTGAGGACATATTTTAAATTCTTAGTGATACAAATTTGCTTTTTGATATTTATCACTTGTGGTGAACATTGTTAGTAACAGCTATTCATAACTTTCATTATTTTATAGTAGCTTTCTAAATATTTCTCCTGGAAAAAGAATTTAAAGATTAGTAGAAATGGAAGCAAGAATTATAGTATCAAAATATGGTCATTTTCACGTTGATTTTTTTTTCTTCCCAAGAAGATCATGTGGACTTCAGATTTTAAAATATATTTTATTTTTTCAGACACAAAATCTCATGGATTGGAATATACTACTTGAGGGCCATTTTTAATTTATATGTACAGTATACATCTACAAAGGACAAAATTTTTTGTCTGCAATAATTAAAATAAATTACACACTTAGTAATTTGAAGTATGAATTACATGTCTCATATGTCTTGATAACTCAAGTTTAATAATTTTGCATTTTAAGGGCAAATAACACCTCTATTAAAAGTAGCAACAATTTCCATGCCTGCTTTAATAGGCACTTTAGGTAAAAATAAAAATTTTATTTAAAATAATGAAATATGAAGTTCATTTTAGGCATAGCACATACTCAGGTTCACTAGGCTCAAGGGCAAAAGTTAATTCTGTGTAATTGTAAGTAGAAAAAAAATGGCTTGTCAAATTCTAAGATATTTGTAAATATATAGGCTCCATTTTTATCACCACAAGTAAAATTAAACCCAGAGGTGTCTATTTTACTGTAAAATTTTGTCCATAAATATTACAATATAGGGAATATATCTGTGGAATTCAAAATAAATGGAAAGTCACTACTTTGAGCTAATTTTCAGAGAGAAGTAAAAACAAGGTAAACATTTGGTTAAGTTCATTACAAAGTTCATAAGTTCATAACCTATCTCTTAGTTTATAAAAATACTCTGAAAATATACTTTGATCTCTTTCATAGGCTTTTATGAATAGTTAATTCCTAGTGAGTATCTTGTAAAGGTGTTTTTAATTCATCTGTTTACAAAGTATCAATATAATTTAAATATTTGGTAAGATGAATAATTTAAAATTATAATTCAAACATAACATTTTTTCATGAACATTTTTTAATTATCATATGGAAATATATATACATATATGCATATGTATATATATTCTTTTTTTTAAAGATTTTATTTACTTATTTGACAGAGAGAGACACAGCAAGAGAGGGAACACAAGCAGGGGGAGTGGGAGAGCCCAATGTGGGACTCGATCCCAGGACCCTGAGATCATGACCTGAGCCGAAGGCAGACACTTAAGGATTGAGCCACCCAGGCGCCTTGTGTATATATTCTTAAGCAACATCCAGCTGAAGGAATTTCAGTGACTTTTCATGCAGTCTCTATTTTGGTTATATTTTAGTCTTAAATATTTTCAGAAATGCTAGAACAGACCAAATTTTCTCATTGTTTTTCAAGTCACTTCAAATATCATTTGAACAAATTACCTTTTTCTAAAAATTATTAACCAGATGGCTTGTGATCTGAAATTTGATTAGCATTGTAAATAGGTACTATTTTTTGACTTACTTCTCCTGAGAATGTCACTTCATCTCAGAACAATTTTCAGTTATACTAAGATGAAGTCAGATGTTTCAGAGTGGGAGGAGGATTTGTAATTTTGAATGAAAACTAATATATATGCAGGACTTCTTTAAATCACCCCAGCTGTTGGCCGAAAGCAAATATTTCATATTTGTGAGGAAAAGCTGAGAAAATTCCTTTTGTTTACAACTGCCAAGTCCATCTGATGGAAGCACATTGTTATCTGACAGCCAATTCATCTCCTTGGGACTCTGGAATTCAAAACCATTTCTTAGGAACATTGTGGATACACTTTTCAAATATTTATTTTTTTTTAAATACATTAAATGGTAGGGCAGTTTTGTTAAAGAATGCATTCAAGTTGTCATGAAATAAACTATTATAAATTTTGTTCAGTATATTATTTAAAAAATAAAAATAAAAAAGCTAACCAGGGGATTCCATAGCAAATTATTATGGCCTATGGGGATATATTCTTATTTTAGTAGGTGGTCATCAACATCACAAAAATTTGCCTTTTTTTCCCAAAAAGTTTCAAGAGACAATGTAAGGAACAGGAAATGATCAGTGAATTAACTTTTAACTAATCAGATATTGTGCGAGATCATATGATTTTTAATAATTTAGACGTGCATTTTTAAATTCAAGCTCTAAATAATGAAAAGGTGTGTAAATGCAGGCTTATGTTACAAATGCCATTCATATAATATTTATAGTAACTTAATTTTCATTCTTTGTGTGAAGAACAAAAAATAAAAATATTAGTTTTATTTGTGTGTGATTTGTGGTTCTAAGTATTTTTCATTTTAAAATGATAAAATTAAAACAATTCCAAAGTGATATTTTGTGAACATTTCAAAATTATAAGTTTTTTCTTTTTGTTTTATGTTGATAGAGTTTTAGTTTGGTCTAGAGAAAGAAGACGAGTCTGAAAACAGAAGATAAGATCTGTGCCCTTTTAGAAATCCAACTTTTAATCTGTAAGAAACAGATTAGGCTGTTGTTATTGCTGTTGTTAGGTTGAATTAAATTTAAGCTTAGAATGAGAAAGTCATTATTTGTAAATCAAAGCATTATAGCTACAAAAAGAAAGATTTATTTTTGCACTTCGAAGAATCAGTGAAATCCAGGGTTATCAGTCAAATGTCAAGAAATAGATGGATATTAAAAACCTTCCTCCTAAAAGAAAAAAAAACAAAAAAACAAAAGTCTTCCTCCTTCCACACTCCCTCCCCTTCTCCCTTCCTCCCTCCCTCCTTTCTGTTGTATGGAAAACAACATCAGATAATAGGATCATCATCAGAATGTGGTTATGATTCACTGTAAAATCAGTATATCTTAATCACACTTACACACCATGACCACACATTACTTCCTGTTTTGACAGTTTCGTACTATACTCCCAGACCTAACATGTGCAGTGGCAGATTTCCATACTCTGTGTTGCCAGTAGTGCCTGCTTATCTGGGAATAAAATGAAGCCTTGAGAAATGTGCCCCAGGTAGATGTATTAGGAGGTCTCCCATTTGTTTCATCGAAGTGTTCAACTGAAATCTAATTTAGTTAAGTAACTAGTTAATTCAATGGAAATTCATTAAGGAAAACAAACTACAAATAAACTACAAGAAAGAATTGGAACATTTATGACATGTACTCCTTTATCCTTCAGAGAAGATACCTGTGTATATCTGCAATAAAGTCTCCATGCAAAATTGTTAATTGAAAGTAATTCTTGGCTGGTGCATAATGTCTTTGAGAGTTAAAAAAAAAAAAAAAATCACATTGGGGCCCAGAACATTTGTGGGCTGGTGTAAAATTCTGTTGCTCACTTATAGTTTATGGGATTATGCTGCAGTCATTAAAGTTCTATTTTATGGCCTTTTAAGGAGACCCAGGCCACTTCACTTTCCACTAGTGAAAATCATCTGCATTTATGGGTTCCTTCCTAACACAAAAGCATGAGTATGAGAAAGTTTTGAAACTGTTTAAGGTTGTCCAAAAAATGTTAGGACATTAAGTCCTAAATGCAGTGAAACGCTTATATGCAAAATAAAATGCTGATATTCCTAAATTATGTTAATGAAAACCAATAGTGTACCATAGAAAATCTTGGGTATTAGGCTTTGCTTTAACTTTACTATCATCTTATACCCTTACAATAAGGAAATTACAGTAGTGGTACAGGTAGAGGTTTGGACTGGTTTTCTTTTCATAACAATAACATGTGAGGATGTTCTTTTAAGACAAGTATTGCGTTCAACTCTCCCAAGGTTCAGTATGCTTAGATTTGAAATTATATTTTGCCTATGTCATTTGATACGCTTTTTTGTTTAAAAAATGAGTCCTGAAGTATTATGATGAAGCCATGTAGGGAATCCTGGAAAAGAAAGCTGTCCACTAAGACATTTTCAAGTTTCTATCAAGGAGATATAAAAAAAATATACTCATTTTAGTTTAGAAAAGTCTAAATCCCTTTACATCAGAACCTACATTTGACCAAACACTGCACTTCCAGGAGAGTATCTCTAAAGGACACATTACTTTTTTTTTTTTTTTTTAATGTGGTGCTGAATTAGTTCTCCTGTGTGCACACACCATTCATAAGCATGTGACAGCCAGTGGGAGGTGGAGCAATTACAGTGCTCTAGGATTTTTGTTGTAGGTCTCTACACATGAGTTCAAATAGAGAATATTTTGTGGAACAGGTCTGAAGGAAAGCACCACTTATCCCCTGATCATCAAGGATGTAGGGAATCCCTCTTCTGACTAATCCTACAAGTTTACAGGCAACACATAACACATTCCTTTTCTTAAAGTAAGGGCAAACCAACAGTGCTAATCTCCTTAGAAAAGAATGCAAGCTCATCTCCAAAGAATTGTTCTCCGGCTTCTTTATACTACCAAGTTTAGAATCACAGCAGTTATTTTCTTGGGAAATACACTTTGTCTTTGAAGAACATATCAAACTTACTCACAGAGGCCAAG